GGGAGAGGTAATATTTGAGAAAAAGCCTGAAGAATTGGAGGGTAAAAACTATGCAGTTATCTGGATGAGAGCTTCAGGAAGCAAGAATAATAAATGAGTGCAAAGGTCCTGCGAAACAATGATGGCTGCTATGTGCCCAGAACAGGAGGTGCTAGTTCCGTGATGAGAAGCATGTCAGAGGTAGAGCTGTCGTTCATGTGGGGCCTTGTAAATGATCATACAGACTATAGGTGTTTACTCTGAGTGACAAGGAGAAGCCAGTTGCTGGAAGGTTCTGAGAAGAGGGACATGCTCTGATACATCACTCTGGTAGCTGCGATGACATTATACTGAATGGATGTCAACGGTAAAATCAGGGAGACTAGGATGATATGACAAATGATTATGGTTAGGTCCTGGGTGCAAATGGTTAAGCCCTTGACTACTAGCTAAATGGTTGATGATTCAAACCCACCCAGCGATGCCTTGGAAGACAGGTGTGTATGTCTGAAATCATATGGAGTAATTTTACTCTGCACACATGGGCTCATTGAAATTGACTCAGTGGAACTAAATGACATAGGTGGTAGTTGTGGGAGGGTTGAAAAGTGATGTGATATGAGAATCTCTGAGACATCCAAGTATGTACAGTAGATAGGTAGATAGCATATATTTATCAGGAACTCAGGGGAGAGGTGTGGATGAAGATACATACAGGTGAGTCTTTCTCTAAGGTCAAGTCTCAATGGCAACTGAATATAAGGGGGCAGAAAAGAAGTTTACATATTCCACTTATTTGCAACATATGTATTGTATTCCCTAAGGTCATAGCCGATTTTTATAAAGTACATGTCTTCCTGGGGTGAATTCACTTAATTCCACTTGAATATTATTAATTTAGAGGCTAACATTTTTTTTACAATTGTGAGCAAACCAAAGTTGGTCTGAAATTTGCCCAAGCTTGTATATAAATTATTAGTAATACACCAAATAAGGGACCCTGGTGATGCCGCGGAAGACGCATTGGGCTGTTAACACTAAGACTGGGGATCCAAACCCACCAGCCACTCAACGAAAGACGAGTCTATCTGCTCAGGTACAAACTTACAGTCTCAGAAATTTGAAGCCACAGTTCTACCCTGTCCTGAACGGTTGTTATGAATTGGAATTGTCTGTGGCAGTGGGTCATTTTGGGGGCGGGGTGGGGGCTACACACCAGATAACAAAGGGGCTGTTAAACCTACTTCAGAAAAACTCTTCACATTTAGCCTCTTGAAAATTATTTAAAAACCATACCCTATGGTTTTTCCCTAAAGAGAACTTGTTTTCAATATTCAAATAGGCATGCCTTCATCATTAAGGATTGTGGCTACATTATGTACTTGAATGTAACTCCTCCCACATGTAACTATGCAACTTACACCTTTTCAGTAAACCCACCCACTATATTGTTAATTAGTAACATTTTGCTCTGTTGTATCTCAGTTTCTCTTAATTGTAAATTATGCTATTTAGCACAAAGATGGGAAGGTAAGAATACATCAAGAAAGTGAAAAACACAATTCACATTACTTGTTCAATGCTGTTGTGTTGATTCCAACCGACAGTGACCCTGTATAGGGTTTCCTAGGAGCAGCTGATGAACTTGAACCATTGACCTTGCAGTTCAAACGGCTTTGCAGTCTGGCGCATTAACCCACAGCGCCACACCAGGGCTCCATTACTTTGGATCAAGCTAAATACATGCAACAAAAACTCAACAACATGGGAGGGTGAAGAAAATGAAAACATTTCCAAAGGTATTTATTGAGAAATAGTAAAGATGTACATATTTTTACAAGCTTTTAATATTAATTTACATTTCTTTAAATTATGTAGGCCCCGGTAAACTATCCCTTACTAATACATGACAGAAACCTGGCATTCACTGAGATATTGCCATAATGTTAGGATAGTTGGGAGTCAAAATGCAACTTTGGCTCATGATTCTTAAGTTTGTTTTTACAAGAAATACTAAATGCTATGTTCACTGAGAATGTAGGTGTGTCAGAATCAAATGTGCTTTAAAAACAACAGAAACAAACAACTTTGTGCTGGAGAACGCTCTTGACACTACTCTGAATCTCAGCTCACCAGACTACGGATGGGTTAAAAAAGCCATCATTCTTAGAGACACTATTTCCTACATTCTGTGCAAAGTACTTGATTCTAAGTTTTGTTTTGTTTTTTTGCCTCTGAATTTGATTTATACATTTTTTGCAGAAGTTATCATGACTTCATCTCAGATGCAATAATAATGCAGCCATACCACCCACCTTGTAACTAAAATTACACGGTCTGAATATTTCTTAGGTGCAACCAAAGGTGATTACCTTCCCTAGTAATGTATCAAGTTTGTATAGTCGTTGAAACCGTCTTTTTAATTTTCGAGCATTTTTCAAACTTGTTTACAATAATGCTTATTATTCTGTATGCAAATAGAACATGCGCATTGCCAAAGGTAGTGCTTGTACTGTTGTTATTTATTGTCTTGTTTTGCAGATCAGAGAGAAAAAGGGCTCTCTGGACCCTAAGGTGGGAAGGGAAGGGTTCTAGTTTGCGCGTGCTCAAAATCACAAGACCTAGCTGTGATGTTGGCTTGTTCATCTGCACCTCTTGCACACCACGCACACTGTTCTCTGTCAACCTAGTAGGTCCATGCTGGCTGCCTCTTATGAACACACAGTCAGAAAGATGTGTGTGAGAAACAGGGCTGGGTGATACAGTCGGTAGCCCTGCTCTTTGCCTTCTGAAGGGTATTCCTTTTGTACCTGCAAGCTTAGCTTGTTTCATATGAAAAAAAAAAAAAATTAGAAAACATGCCACAATTCTGTCTTTAAAGAAACTGGCTCTAAATTAAAATGAAGTTTGCTTTATTCACAGCAATCAATCTCCAAGATTTTCTTGTACAACATAATTTAGTTCTGATTATCAATACAATTCTTTAATTGCTGTTTTTAAGCTATAAGCCAACATAAGTATAATCCTTTCAAAATTATGATCATAAAGAGCATCATCTCTTTAATTTGTCTCCAACAGTTCTTAGCCCCAAATCTACAAAACATAAAGAATCGTTCCAAGTTTACCACCCCAAATCTACAAAATGTAAAGAATCAGTTTAAAGTTTATCTGATGACATCACAATCTTATGCAAAATTGGAGATCTCAATTGCGTTTACCCAATGTGAACCTGGCCTTAGCACTCAGTAAGGAAATACAGGTTGCATTACCTAGAAAAGTAAAATCATATTTCTATAGTGATTGCTGTGAGCAGCGTGCCAAGCACTGCCCTCACTGAAGTCATTAGGAACGAACTATCATGGAATACCCCTCAGTTAGAGACACTGTCCAGCAGTTGGACTCCAAGTTCTACATCATAACATTTTAAACACAGAACTGCAGGTGTAGATACCACTAAAACACCCCCCTATCTTGAAGTCTTAAATTTCCACAAGGGAAATCAGGTAAAAAAAAAAAAAAAAAAATGATGGGAGAACCTGTATCGTGTTCCTAACATGGGCTACACACCAAGGAAAAGAAAACATGCAAACCCACGATAGCAAGTTCTCCTTGCAATGAATGCAGCCAATTGTGTAGTGTCCGTACAGGCAGAAACGAACATCTGCGAGTCTGTACCGGAGAGAAACTGGACTGATGTGTGAAAACAGAGAACCAGGTACTATTTTACTCTTGTGATTTAGGTAAGGCTGCCAAGATCAAGCTCACTTGCTAATTTATCTTCTGATGATATTCTAAATAACAGTTCTATCGATTCATTTTCCTTAGGAAGGCATTTGAGTCAACAGCCTTCAACTACTGATGATATCTCATTTTTATAATGATATATGCATGTCTAAAAAAGTCTGGGTGTTCATTTTTTATGATTTTCGTGAGAATGTTATCTTCCATGTAACTTACGTACATAAAAAGGTCTCAAACTCAAAACAGTGCAATATGTCTCGTAGTTTTCTCCAGTAACACTCAAAACTTCAACCCACATTTCACTTTTTAAAGTAAAGGTCCCACAGTCTTGCCCAAACCTTCTGCACAAATAGTTGCCTCATACAAATGATTGGAATTATTAAGAGCCCAAATAAAAACACACGCTTGTCTTTATTATTATTATTTTTTCCTTATTGCAACAAATACTCAGTGTCTGCTGATGCAGTATTAAGCTTTGATAGCTTGAATTTAAAATTTGGTCATGTGAAGAACAATCACAAAGGTTTTTGTTTTTCCTTTTATCTACAGAGATTTTAACCAAAGTTACATTGTAACACACAAACGCTGTCTGTATTTAAGGCACAGCACTTCAGTATGAACATTCTGTTTGCCAAACTTAAAAAAAAAGAAAAAAAAGAAAGAAAGAAACATTATTATCTTCCCATTCTCCCTCCCTCATCCTTACCCCACAAATGAAAGAAAAAAATTGCATCCATTTTCAGAGTCAGCTGCTAATAAAGTCACAGTAAATTATTTTCATCAATAATTTACACAAATTACAGGTCTAGACAGGACTGTCCTTAATACAGTCTGAGTGCATTCCAATTCAGATTTTCTGGGTTAGGTAGGCTAAAGTCAGATTCAAACCTCAGAGCTGAGAAGAGATCCCATGGTGAGGAATGTTGTTGAACACCACCTGGTCAGACAAAGACTGGGGACTGGTACTTTTTCAAGGTAAGAGTTCTTTGACAAAGCTGTTAATTCCAGTTAGGACTCATTCGGTGTGTACCAGCAACCTCCATAGATTTTGTTTGTTTGTTTGTTTGAAACCATTAGAGTATTGTCAATGTAAGACCATAGAGCTTCCTTTCGGTAGCACTGAATTTCAACTCCACTCAGCAATCTTCATTCTGGAATTCTCGTTCCAAATAATTTTATCCTTTAAGACAATTTATATGTGTAAAGCCAGAGGCATTGAATCACATATAAAAATTCAGTGTACTTGAATATAAAAATGGCTCTCCACCTGGAGAACACAGTTACAAATATTCTAATTCCAGTGCTTGATGTAGAGCCAAGAGGTCTGAGTGACTTGATATCCTCCAAAAGGGCATATTGTGCTGTGTGGGTAAGAGAGGGAGAAAAGGGAGAGACAAGAGGAAGGGATGAAGAGAGATCATAACTATTGTCTCAACAAAGCAGCAGTACACACAATGATGTGTAGTCCACTCAAGTTCACAGGCAGGAGTTTAACGGAGCCATGTTGATACCTGAAAGCTTGGAAGCATCAATAGAGCATTGTCAAAATTAGGGAGAAATAGATCTGAACTGGATTTGAATGATGATTTTTTAAAATGCTGAAATTTCTTAATTTATATTTATTAAATTCCTTAGCTTATATTTATTCTGGAAAGTGACATGCCAACACCAACATCTGGAAAAGCAAGGTGCGTATCAAAATCCTTCTTGGTTGATAGAAAGTAAGTTTTAATCACTACATTACCCTTAAAGGTACACCGTTCATGTGAAAATAAAATCAAAGTCATACACTCCCTATGCCCAAGTCTTGTGTCTACTTGAGAGGAAAACAAGGTGCATTTCTTTCTATGCAAAAAAGAAAAATTTGAAGCTAGTCAATGTATGGTAGAAAAAAAATGTGGGCTAATCCATTTTCTTATCTGATTGGAGTTACAAAGAAATTAAGCTGGTCAAGTTGACCTGAGTTGCTTCACTGGCTTTAGGTTGAGGGAAGGTTCTCTAGCATGCATTCTCCATAGGGGCGATATCACTCCCAAGAAGGCTAAAATGAAGTTTTGGGGTATGAAAAAACCTTACACATTACAATGTGATCCATCAAAGGCATACAAATATACTGCTATATAGCAGCTACCATTGAGGTGATTCTGACCCCTGGTGACCCCCATGTGTGTCAGAGAACATGCAGAGTGCATTAAGCCTCATGGAAATCCCAGTGTGGTATTCCAGCAGAACTGTACTCTACAGTATTTTCAATGGGTGATTTACTTGGCAGAAGGAGACTGTTAAGACTTTTGTTCAAGATACCTATAGGTAGATTCCAACCTCCAACCTTCTGGTTAGCAGCCAAGCACATTAACTGTGTCTCTTACCAGGGGACTCTACAAAACAGAATATATGTGGTATTAAAATTTCACTGAGGGGAATGATTAGGGAAAAATACTCTAAAACGACTCCTTTGGGAGTTAATAATGAAAAAGAGGAACATTGGGCTACAGCAATGGACAAAAGTAAAGACTTTATTTCCAAGTCTGGACTGGTAACAAATTCTAAAATATGTATTATATTGTCATTGAGTCAGTTCTGAATCTTAGTAACCCTGTCTAGGGTTTCTGATGCAGTAAATCTTTGAGGAGCAGAAAGCCTCACATTTCTCCCACAGAGTGGCTGGGGGGCTTGAACCACCATAGAGACAGAGAGAGAGAGAGAGAGTCCTGGTGTGGCAGAGTGGGTTAATGACTCAGACTGCAAAGTCATTGGAACTGCAAGGTTGGTGGTTCAAGCTCACCAGCTGCTCCTTGGAAACCCTACACAGGGTCGCTATGGGTCAGAATCGACTTGATGGCACTTAATAACAATGACAACAACATTATATATATATCTGTGTGTGTGAATTATTAGATATTTATAATATATACATGTATACACACACGTAAAGAAAAAGATACTTCATTATGCATTATTTTAATTATTTGTTGTTAAGTGTCATTGAGTCGATTCCAACCCACAGCGACCCGGTATAGAGTTTCCAAGGAGCAGCTGGTGAGCTTGAACCACACTGACTTTGCAGTTCAAATGACTGCAGTCTGACGCATTAACCCACAGCACCACACCAGGACCTTCATCATTACTACTATAAAATTCTGTCCAGTATGGTAACCATTAAGCATATGTGGCTTTTGAGATCTGAAATGTAGCTATTTCAGTGTAAAATATACTGAATTTAAAGATACTGAGTATAGAAAAACACAATAAATAGCAATCAAGAATTGTCTGATGTTGAGACAATAATATTTTGGATATATTGTTAATTAGATCATATTATTTTTAAAATGCATTCTACTTGTCTCTTTTTACTTTTTTATGTAGGTTATATAAAGTTTTAAAATGACATAGGTAGCTCACATTTCTATAGGAGAGATGTGGTACATTATTATCCCTAAACTTGAACATGTCTTCTAAAATTTCTAAAACTATGTATGTTTTTAGGTCAAATTAAAGCACAGAGGTCCACCTAGAAATAACATTTTTTTTGTTGTTGTTTTTCATTCAGCTCAGATCTATTTGAAATAACTAAGTCGGACTTAATTTCTCTGCACATGCAATTATAACTACATCAAAGAAAAGCATGCATTCTGCGTACTAGAGAAACCAACCACCTATGTTTCAAAAAAAAAAAAAAATCATAAGCCTTCACCATCACCAAAACTGTATGTACATAAACAACCATTTGGAAATAGCATTCTAACTGAAGTTTTCCCTCATGTGGAATCACACCTTTCTCTCCTGAAGTTTGACGTGTGTGGCAGGTCTAACAATTGGTGTGCACTATGTCTGCCTTTCACAATATGAATAATTGGGGTAGACTTTCTAAGTTTTAATTTTCAAAGGCATATTTGGTTCTGGTTTGGAAAATTTACGTTTATTACCCTTGACCTAGATACATGTGAATTTTGCATAAGCTAAAGACACGTCAATGGTTTCCTGCAGTGGCGGCATCATTTACTGTTATTTGTTGTGCATAATTATGGTGCCAATGTGAAAAATCAAAATAATTTGGATGCAGGACATTGACAAACTCCAGAAGAGACTTCAATGGTGTGTGTCTGGAAGCATTTCAAATAGTAGTCAGCAATGAAAATTGTATTCCTTGAGGCTGCAGCCCTGACTTCATACAGAACATCCTTGGGTCTAGTGTGCTGTCCTAGGTCAGTGACATTGCTAATTAAGACTGAAGTACTCTGTGGGCGCAGCCACTGAATCAGCTCTCTTGATGTTAGGAAAAAGGATAGGGGATTTCAAGTATGGCTGCCAATACTGTTAGTGGAAATGTTCCTGTTTTGCAGTTTTGCTTGATTCAAATCGACTAGAAACATAAATCATTTCTTTTCTCTTTCCATTTTGTCTATAAACTTCTGCAGAAAATAGTTTATCCGGATACTTTTTGGAAAACAGAAATCAGGTAAACACTCTGGCACATGCAAGTGTGAAGATTTATTAGATGATGATTTGAAATTTCCTAAGGTGAATAGAGATAAATATCTTTCTAAGTAAAATATTCTGGGCTGATAGGTCATTGTTAGGAAAGTTAATTATTATTTTGTTTTGTCTGATGAATTCTGTGGCTTTTATCTTGGCTGCACAATGTTTTGCTGTTATTCACCAAAGGAAGTGATACAGCTCAGTGTTGTGTTGACTGATAGTTTGGTGTCTGGGGTCAATCCTGACATCATTCTTCCTTTGATCTTGAGCCAACCATTTAATGGTTTTTAATTGCCTTGGTTTCTTATTCAGAAATATGGGCCAGATGAAAAGCCTTATTTAAATACCTAGGGCCTATGAGATCTTTCCAATGTGTTCAAGACCATCTGCTTGCCTTCAATCAAGTACTGATGGCTCACTAAAACAGAAACCACTCTTCTAGACGAGGCGAGGAACACTGCCCCTATGTCTCTAGGACAAGTTAGCACACACTAGTCTGAACAATACATCCTATTCCAATGATGTTTTCTTAAATTCTTTGACGATGATTTTTATTTCAGCTATTAAATCTACTCTTATTCTATATTAATTAATACTTACTTTTATGCAGTCCCCAGTCTGTGTAATAAGAGAAAATGGATGTGGATGAAGGGTGGTAAGAACTGGGCCTTGCACAGGTGACCGTCAAGTATGGGTCACCGACATCTGAATGCTACATATCTATACACACATATCCTAACACACACACAAAATGCAAGTAAATTTTCTTGCATTTCCTATCAGGTTTCAGGCAAAAAAATTAATAATGCTAGACTCCAAATGGTTTATTTGAATATAAGTATCAACCTTCTCATGCTCTCATTGCTTTGCATCTATCACTTTAAATCATTTGTCAAGCTGCCACTGGGCCAAGCTATAGGAATGCAAACAAAACGGCTTGCATTAGAAGTATCACACCAATATTATTTGAGACAGGTTACCTTTTTTGCTGCCTGTTCTTCTTCTACACCATCCCCAATTACAACATATACTACTTTTCTGCCAAACCTTTGCATTATTCGTTCAAAGCAACTTTCTTTTCCTGGAAGATAAATGAGATACAGTTCAGAGTGAAGTTACCTGGTTAGCGGCATGCTCCTCATCTCGGCCATCTCCAATCACAACATAAGTTATGTTAGTGCCAAATCTGGAAACTATACGCTCAAAACAGCTTTCCTTGCCTGAAAAACAATGCACTGCTTATTCTTCCAGCCATTGTATTCAGTAACCTAAAGATTTATAAAGTGTTAAGTTAATTTCTCTTGAACATCATTTGTACTAGCTTGCAACTTCTGGGTTTATGAAATCAACAAACATGTTCAAATCACATTGTTATTACATAGGACTGATTATTAAGCATGCATGTTTTATGCTTCAGAAAAGTCAGTTGGGTTAAGCATTTGACCCAGAGAAAATGTTAGTATGCTTATTCCACCAAAAGAATATCTGAACAATTTTAAAAGCAGCTATACATTCTGGTAGTGTAGGGGTTACGAATAGGGCTGTGAACCTTAAGGTCAGCAGTTCGAAACTACCAGCTGCTCCACAGGAGAAAGATGAAGCTTTCTGCTCCCGTAAAGATTTACAGCCTCGGAAACCCTGTACAGGGTCGCTATGAGTCAGAACCGACTCGACGGCACTTAACAACAACAACAATACATTTAAATAGCATTTGTCTATTTAATGCAATATATCTATTTTACCTAGTTTATTTTAAACAAAGCAGCTGAACATAAGTTTGTGAAAAACTGAAGGCTCATCTATAAGGAAGAAGGAATGGCTAAGAGTAGAATGACCCAGATGAACAACTCTTTTCTTCAAGTGGCTAGAAGCTACTCTCCTCAGAGTAATGGTACTCTGGATGGTGCGGTGTCCTATTGGACCACAGCACGAATAACACAAGTGTACTACCCTCTGATTAGACCACAGCAGAGAAAACACTAGTGTGCTACCCCTCTGATTGGACCACAGCCCAGAGAACACTAGTGCACTAGCCTCTGATTGGACCACAGCACAGAGAACACTAGTGTACTATCCTCTGGTTGCACAGAGATTGCACAGAGAACACCAGTGCACCACCCTTTGGTTGCATGGCAGCAATGCCACGATGGACTTTCTACATGGACTTTTAAGCAGTTTCTTAACTTCATTCCCAGAACATTCATGCAGTCATAGCTACTTTTGCATTTTTTCTTAATCTGATTGTTCCGAACTCCAAAAAATACTAGCTTAAAGGGAAAAATAAAAATGATCTTCTCCCACACTATAAAGGAACCAACTGGCCAATGAAAAAAGATTATCATCCATATTCAAAAAAACACTTATACTGGAATAAATTATTTGATTTGTCAAAAGGCAAAAATCAGATTTTCCTGAATATCAGTTCTGTTACCTTAAATACCTATGTCCATGCAAAAAAAAAAAAACTCATGGGAAGGGCATCTAGGGTCTTAACTGTAGTATTTGTGATAATGTGGAATTTATTTCATGAATGTTTGACTCTCTCTAACTGTCCTCCTAAAACAGCTGCAACTGGGGGCTTGTTTTGCCAGTGCCAATATTAGGCCTTTTCAAGGACCAGGGCAGGTTATTTTTGGTGGGGATTTTAGGATTTTGGACTACTCTTGTTAAGAAGTCAAAGCCAAACTTTGCTGACCTTCAGTGCACATTACACAGCTCATTCATTTCCCCAGGCATGCCCTTGACAGATAGTGGGATACAAAGCTGTTTTCTTTGAACTCTTTCAAGATGGCCAGAGTTGATGAGACTTGGTTTTTGAAAGTTTATTAGAAGTCTTAGATTATGAAATGCACTTAAGTCAAAGATGGCTGTAAAGACATTACTTAAAGAGTAAGGCTGTCACTGTTTGAATGTCATTACACATTTTTAACAATGTGGATTCCTAGCCACTCCTGAGGTATGAAAATTCCAGTGACACTTTCTGATTTATAAAACCCTTTTTTTTCCTCCCTGAGTAAAAAGTTCAAATCATATGACCTTCCCTGTAATGCTAAATAGTAATTTTATCTTAAATCTAGATTGTTGCATATATAAGAATGCAATACTACATATACAAAAATATTTAACACTATGGCTAGAGATAAGGTATATTATCTAGATAATATATGCCTTATGACTCTATGAAATAGAGTTAGCACTCTCCAGGCATTGAGATCAGAATTTTGGTAGCCAAAATGTCATTAATTTGACACATGCACAGTAAGTTACAAGGTTCATTATTATTTAATATCTCTCCAAAGTTGCTTGAGAGTTGAAGAGCAAATTTGATTAAAAAAAAAAAAAAAAAAGATCATGCAGACATACACACTCAAAAAACTTCCCTAAATACAGCTTTTGCAATCATTTCCTTACCTATTTTGGTTGCACTGTAAATATTCTCAATGGGGAAAGCCCCTCCTAAACTATAGAGCAGAACCTTCGCAAGTGCTGGGATCAGTTGAGTTGTCGTTACCAAGACATTTACACAGTTACTCCTAAAATAGAGAGGAAATACTAGATTTGCTTTCTAACAATAAATTAAGTTCTAGTAGGTTAGATTAGATTGATAATTGGCACTGCTTAGAGATGTGATTTTAAAATCCAGTTTCAGTATTTACACAATGATATTTTAAGTTACATTGTTTCTTTTTTTTTAATAGAAATGAAGTCAATATTTATAATATAAAGTTTGTAAACTACAGATAAACATAAACAAGAAAAAGAACATTTTCCAGCCATCTAGAGATAACTGTTCTCCTCCTTCTGTAAATTTACTTTCAATGTCTCTGTCTATGTGTGTGTATGTATATAGATATAGATATATATGTAGATATAGATATATGTCTATATATTCCCCCAACTGGGAACATAACTTTTCCATTCTACTTGTTTCATTTATTCATATCATGAAACTATTAATTTATATCACATCGCCTATTATCCCCCTCCCCAATAAGACATAATGTGTGCAAACTACTCCACCATGTGGATGTACCTTAATGTTTTGAATTTAAGTTTACATGCTTCCATTGTCCTTGATTTTTCAATATTATAAATAACTCTGCTTTATATGTAACTTTTTCCTACAAATCTGATTACATACTCAGACTCTATTCATAAAAGAGGAATTACGGTCAAAGGTCATACACTTGTGTAAACACTTTAATACATAATTCCACATTGCATTGTGTATGCATCTGGTTATTCTGACTTTTCAGGGATTGTGTGAAACTACCAACAAAGTAACATGTGTAAATAAATAGCTTAGCAATTTGTGTGACCATTAAGTCTTTAATATGTATTGACTTCTGTTTCTCCTTCCTTGTTATACTTTTATTTATTTCTTAAAATTACATACCCTTCTAGATGATATGTTAAGGTTATCTGTTTAAACCTTCGATGTCATCACACATAAACCTTTGTTTTTTAACAATCTGAGTAATATGTTTCGGAAATAATGAAAGGTGCAGACCTCTTCAGAGAAATGCATTTCTGAAACATTCTGTCCACAATTTCAGGGGCTCAAGAGTTTTTAGGTCCCAGGTGGTCTGGTCATTAGTTCCCAGGTCATTAGTTACAAAAATCACAATACAGTAGTCTTATTTTCACACAATTCTTCTTTACATGGAACTAAAAATATCCCTTCCTAGGATTTCTACTAATTCAACCAAATTCTCTCATTTACCGATATAATGAGAAATTTAATTTTGTTTAGTTTAACTACTCAAACAGTAGAAATTCTAGGAAGTAATTGGTCATCTTGTTCCATATCTGACTTATCTTCCAATTAAAATCCCTGGTTCCTCCCTTCAACTATTTCTTTAATGTGGTTTCCATATTCTAAAAACCACTCTGTTCACTTAGCTGGACACTGGATGCCATCAGCTTTGTCATTGCCCCTGTTTGAATGTGATGCCCAGAATTTACATTAGCAGAGTTCCTTAATAGGAAGTAATTTATAAGCTAAAAGGTGCTCTGGTAGTGAATTGGTTACGAGTCAGGCTGCTAACCTCAAGGTCAGCAGTTCGAAACCAGCTGTTCCATGGGAGAAAGATGAGGCTTTCTGTTTCCATAAAGATTTACAGCCTCGGAAACCCTATGCAGGTTCGTTATGAGTTGGAACTAACTCCATAGCACACAACCAACCAACCATACTTCCCACTATCACTTAAAGAAGTTCTGGTGTGGCACTGTGTGTTAATGTGCTGGATTGCAAAGTCTACAAGGTTGGTGGTTCAAGCTCACCAGCTGCTCCTCAGAAATCTTATACAGGGTCATTATGTGCCTGAACTGACTCGGCAATACAGAACAACAACAAATGATAACCTAAAAGGCCTATAACATGCATTTATTGCATAACATGGCAGTACTTTGTTTTTCCGTCATCAACCCCTGTACTTCACCACCAACAGAATGCTCTCTTTCATGTTTCATTAAAAGTGACTTGCCCTTTCTTTGGGGATTATAAGTAGCTATGAAGAGATAATGGTGGAGAGATGGAATCCCCTTGTTATTCTGAGATACAGCAACCCTTTCCCTAATACATACACACATACGTGCACAAATAAACATATTGAGGTTGAAAGTTATCACTGGAGTCAGTAAAGTGTTAAGTCTCTTCAAACTCTAAAATAGTCTAGAAATAAAAAACATCTCAAAAGAAGGTAAATTTATATATGATGTGCTATTAGAACTTGATCTTTAATACAACAAATATAGAAAGTACAACAATGCCACTTACCTTGTACTAATAATTGATAAAGACTTAAGTGCGTTTGTCAGCCAGGAGTCCGTTAGTCCTTCAATCTCTGCCCTTAGCTGTAGCCATGCATCTCTCTTGGCAGGGCCAAGGAGTCCTGCAACATCAGAAACACAGCCGAGTTCAGAGACAGCCTTTTTCACCTCCCGCAGGAATACTCAGTTTGGCCTTTCTTATGTCTAGTATAAATAATTTTTATTCCAATCTATATCAGAAATGGAGAGAGACACTGATATATACGAGTATTGATTCATTATTTGATATTTGATTACCATTCATTTATTTACTCAACAGATACTTACTGAATAATTCTAGGTGTCTGGTTTTGGCCTAAAAACTGGTAATAGTAACAGTGAAAAACCATCAGACATGATGGAGAGCTTCCCCCCAAGAAATTGTGATACAAAAGGCTAAGAGGAGAAATGGAGTTTCTAAGATCTAGGAAGCCAAAGCTCAATTTAGTTGCCTGAAAATATTTAGCATCTTATTAATTACAATGATTTCCATTTTGGAATAGTAATGAGGATATTATTGTACATAGCTAAGAAAAGATTTCTAATACCAGTGTAAACACTATCACAAATACTTTATTTTGTAAAAAAGAAGATAAATTATTGTATCTATAATCCTGAAGTGTATGATACAGTTATAGACAAGGTTGTTATGATAAAAAAAAAAACATAAGTTGTTGTTGTGTTGTTGTTATTGTTGTTGTCATTTTTAAGTGCCACTTAGTCAGTTCGTACTCATAGTGACCCTGTATAAAGTTTCTGAGGAGTGGCTGGTGGGTTTGAACCGCTGTCCTTGCAGGTAGCAGCAGAGTGCTTATCCTACACCACCACACCAGGACTCCAAGAAAAGAAGTAGGCATGCTAGTTTTTTAAAATTTAAAATAATCTAGATCTCACTTTTATGACAAGATAAAAACTAAAAAAAACAAACTTGCTACCACAGATTCAATTCTGATTCGCGGCAAATACAGACGTTACAAAGCAGAACTGCCCCACAAGATTTTTGGGGCTGTGCTGTGTATAAGATCACTATAAGACAGTACCAACTCAATGGCACCTAACAACAACTACATATAATCTTTATACAGAGAAATCCTTTGGGTTAGTTGTTGTTAAGTGCTGTTGAATTGGTGTGGCACTGTGGGTTATTGTGCCAGACTGCAAAGCCATTAGAACTGCAAGGTCAGAGCTTCAAGCTCACCAGGCGCTCCTTGGAAACCCTATACAAGGTTGTTATGGGTTGGGATCTACTTGACGGCATTCAGTAACAACAACATGTATAGTATACACAGGCATATTTAACTCTATCACTCAGCTTTGGATTCTGGTTTATGCTCCATATTCATTCTTCATTTTTTCCTTTTTTTAAAGAGAAACAAACTTAAAAATCTGGAAGAAGAATCTTATGGAATTTTTAGACCTCAAACTGATCTTAATAACAGAGATCATAAGTTTTTTTCTATCAAGAAATATACAGAATCAGTTTTGATGCCACCTGTAATATATATGGATAAGAATAAAATAGTCTAGCTACAACCTAGAGAGCATTGGAACTTTTCAATCTATTGCAGTTGGAGTCCTGGTGTGGTGCTCTAGGAAAAGCTCTGCACTGTTAGGTGCAAGGTTGGTAGTTCAAACGCAACAGCTTCTAGCTCCTTGGAAAGCATGTACAGGGGCACTATGAGTAGGAACTGACTTGATGATACGTAGCAACAACAGTAGCATACTTATAATCAACACTCTACATGGGAAAGATATACTATTAGATAAATGCAATTTTTAAAAGGATAATTAAAAAGGTTTTCAGAAAGTCTTTAAAACGACATCAACAACTCTTTATATTCATTTCTGATAGGATGCTAAATTATTGCTAATATCGTTCACAATGGAGTCTCTCCTCTTAAACGGGTCTTTTTTTTTCATTGATTCAGTCCATTCCTCGGTTTGAATTTCATGGATAATGTTTCACACACCAGTTAGACAATGGCAAACCAATTTCCTACTGTCTGTTTTGTCTGTACATCTGGGCACACAAAATTTCACAAAACCTTGCCAATTTATTTGGGAAAGTTGCTTGTTTACTTTGTTAACATTTTATTTCCTCCCATCATTCGGTTGTTGTTGTTAATGTTTCAGAGGAGCGGCTATGAGCTGGAGTTTGAGCAGACCTTGTGGTTCAAACCGACCTTGTGGTCTTGTGCTAATCCTACACTGCCACACCAGGACTCTCCCATCAATTTTAAGAAACTTAAAACCACAGACCAATGTAGTTCAGCATGTGCTCTGGCAACTGACTTGACAGTAGAATAGCTTCTCACTACAGTTTGAATTCTCCCACTTCTTACAGCCTCTTGATGAGAGTTAACAAGCACACCTACCTCCAACATTGTTCTTGTAGGTGTTATATAATTCTTTTACTCTTCTGTAACGAAAAGCCAACTTCCTCATCCAGTCAACCCCTCCTCTTACACCTGTTGGCAAACAAAGGTTTGCACTACTTGCAGCTGCATGGAAGCCATCAGTTGCAAAGCTGTAGGTACTGCAACACCCAAAATACATTAAAAAGAAATAAAAGAAATAATTACAGGTGCAAAACTCCATCATTGAATTTCTGTAGGAAACAGTCTACTGAAAGGCATGGCTTACCTTAAGTCCTGCCCATTGTCATCGGAGGAAACATCATCTATATGAACTTGATCACACTCCTGTAAAAAATATGGGCTAAGTTATTTGCCTTTCCAGTGCTGTGCCTTAGCACACTTTACCATCTTCAACTGACCCAGTGATGGCCAGAAGATGGCAGCATTCGACCATCCAGCCCTCCATGCCTCTTCTGTTTTCTGCTCGCTGTAAAATGGTACCTTTCCTCCCTCAAATCAAATCCAGTGAGTGCTATATAAAGTAACCCTGAAAGCACATGGCCTGGGGGCATCTTTAGATCCATTTAAAGTACAAAGTTAATCTTGAAATGATTCACTTTTGAATTTTTGCAATCACTTGTCTATCTGTTGAGGCATTCTTCTTGTACATACTAAAGTATGAAAGCAAAACTCATCTGAAAAGGTAGAAAAACGGTTTTGGTATGAGCACTTCAAGTGGTTAGTCTTATTTATTCTTTGCTGAGCAGCAGCGGGGAGCTTGACGGATCAGGGTGTCCTGTGAGATTCCATGAACTCCTGCTTTGAGCTGGGCCAGAAATGCCAGGAAAGAACCATGCTGGTATTATTTTAAAGTCCTGGTTTTCTCCCATCCACACAGTAAGACAATAATAACCACACAGTCTGACTTGGTCCTTCTTTAGGTTTTCATTTTGTTTTGCTTTCAAACTGAAGAGAATACTTATAGGTAAAAGGGAAATAATGGAGTTTTACCCTCTTTAGGAGTCCTGGTGTGGCGCTGAGCGTTAATGCGCCAGACTGCAAAGCCTTTTGAACTGCAAGGTCGGTGGTTCAAGCTCACCAGCTGCTCCTCGGAAACCCTATACAGGGTCGCTATGGGTCAGAACCGACTCTATGGCACTTAACAACAACAAATAACAAACCTCTCAGAAGAAAACTATCTTCTTGTTAAGAACACACACCAGTGGCCTGCTTTCAAGTTACAGTGCTCTCAATCAAGACACATGGTAACTTTTTTGTATGGATTCAGTTTGTTCTGTCCTAAAAGTCTAATGCCATCAAATAATCTGCAAGGTTCCAGAAAAATATGACAGGATCTGGAGGTGGGATTTGAATAGGCAGTTCTTATACTAACCTTTCAGGTCTCTTTCCCCTCCCTCAAATGAGTTAAATCCTACTCACACATGCAGATATACATAGTGCTTATACCAGTCATAATCAAGTTTTAAAAAATCATTTACATTCGAAGTATAATGCCAGATCCCCCCAAAAAAAGTCACCTACTATTTATAGTCATTGTTGTTGTTGTTGTTGTTAAGTGCCATCGAGTCGGGTCCGACCCATAGCGACCCTGTACAGGGTTTCCGAGGGTGTAAATCTTTACGGGAGTAGAAAGCCTCATCTTTCTCCCGCGGAGCGGCTGGTAGTTTCGAACCGCTGACCCTAAGGTTCGCAGCCCGATTCGTAACCACTACGCTACCAGAGCTCCCAAAATGCCACTGTCATCTAGTCAACTGATTCATAGCAACCATATATAGGGTTTCTGAGCCTGTAAATAAACAGAAAGCCCCATCTTTCTTCTGATGGTAGGTTGGAATTATCAACTTTGCAGTTAGCAGTTCAGTACTCATCCTATAGTGCTACTACTTGCAAATATCTAAGAGTTAAGTATTTAATATCTGGTCTCCATAGTATTAGTTAGCGCCACACTGTAAGGATGTATTCAGGATTCCTTTAAAATATAATACTCAGTGATAACCCCAATCAATGCAGTTTGGGTATATAACCTGAATATACCAAAATCCAGGTGAGTAAATTTTCAACATTCGTACAATTTACTTATATTATATAAGAGCTTAAGAAACTTTGAATAAATCTCTACCTACAATCCTAGATAAGGACACACAAAACTTAATCTAAACAGAAGCTCCCTGAGGATGCTGTTTGGTCCACCAGGATATCCCTTCACTTAGTACAGGATAATGCACTGAAACCCAAGGTCAGTTTGAACCACAAGATCGGTGATTCAAACTCACCAGTCTCTCCTTGGAAACCCTAAACAGGGTAAATTTGAGTTGGAATCGACTCGACAGCACTTAACAACAACAAAGGTCCAATCTGGCACAGAGCTCTCTTTAACAATTATTTGTTGAATAAGTGGAATAAATCTATGCAGGTGGTAATTCTAAAAGTATTACCAAATCATTTACATTTTTTAACATAGTGTCATGGCAATATAAAACAAAGATATCCTGGATAGTTAGGGCTTGTAAGAAGATATTTCTATCAAGAGTGAAGAGGAGGAATTCTTGCTAATTACCCTAGAAATGAAAAGCAATTTCTGTATTTAATAGCCAATCCTAATTTGTAAAGCAATTTTTCTGATATTTCTAGTCATAATTTACATGATTCATTTGTACATAGTTCTCCTCCAAATGTATTTTCTATCCCTGTGGACAACAGTACATCAAACTTATTGCAACGTTAGCTCCATATCTGAAGCTATATTTGAGGTTTTTCCAAACCTAACTTTTCCTTACATTTCTGCCTCGTTAATGATGTCTGTTTACTCTGGACTACTGCCTGGAGATTACAGTCCCATGATCTTCAATCATGGATATTTTTAGAAAAATGTAAGTAATTGTTCTCCAAAGAGCTTTCACTCTAAGGAACTTTGCAAGAATCATTTTAACCCAAATCTAAGTTACTGAAAACATTGTAATGTTTTAACTTGATGAAACCATGTTTAGTAGAAGAATGCAAACATTTGAGGTAATTCTGTTACTAATTTTACGTTCTTTAATTGTATCTTATTGGTATTTAAGGTGGTCACAAAGTTGTTATTGATATTTATCAGTTATAACTCACAAAAGTTTGGCTCACTTTTGTGACCCCTTAATCCCTGGCACCTTCTTTCCTGGAAGTTGTTCTAACTGACCTAACATTTTATTTAAACAGAGAGGTCCTTGTCTTGGGGAAGTGCTATGCACATTTGGTTTCTCTGCAGTTGGGCAGGATGTACTGAAGGGTTTATTATGAGGATTTAAATGTGTATCTTTTTAAGGAATTATGTCAGAAGCAGCTGTTGCTACATATGCCACAGTATCTATTGAAGGATTTAAATCTCAAATTAGGTTTTTAGGCTAAAAAAGGACACAGATTAAATTTAAAAGGAAAAAATATATATATAATAAACAGGAACTACTATCTTGTGTGGAGGAGTGTTGGCATGTTGATGTAGGATAAGCACTGAACCCTAAGGTTGGTTTGAATCTCAAGATGGATCATTCAAACCCTAAGGTTGGTTTGAATCTCAAGATGGATCATTCAAACCCATCAGCTGCTCCTCAGAAACTCTACACAGGGTCATTATGAGTCAGATTGACTTGAAGACACTTAACAACAACAACTGAAAGTAAACAGCTATTTGTGATTCCACTGACAAAATACGCAAATTCCACAAGAGAGTTGTTGTTGAGTGCCTTTGAGTTAGTTCTGACCCATAGTGATCCTATATAGGGTTTCCTTGGAGCACCTGGTGAGCTTGAACCACGGACCTTGAGGTTCAAATTGACTTTGCAGTCAGCGCATGAAGCCATGAAGACGTTCAGTGACAGGGCTCATAAAGATCTTTGCAAGAGATTTTTTGAAAGAGATATTGTGTGATGTGGCTTTGTAAAATAAGCACTGAACTGATAACGGTAAGGTTCAAACCCACCTTAGAAACCCTATACAGGGTCACTATACCAAGTCCACTGCACTGGAAGACAACAACAAAAGTAACTTTCAAATGCAGATGTGGAAGGATGGTGGGTAGATATGTAACTATACTGAAAGATCTTTATAGCTATTATTTAGGCTTTACTAAATTTAGTGATTATTTCTCTTGGTGAAGTTACTAAATTTTTTCGTTTCCCAGGGCACTCCTCTGGGAGTGTGTGTGTAGTTAAGCACACTTAACTTTCATACGAGAGGTCAGTGCTTCATTGATTCAGTACAGTGCTGCTGGATAATTACATTTCAGAGTTTGAATTCAATGAAATTTTTATCATATTGTAAAATACAGCAACAAAAAGATATGATCAGAGTATAGAAAGACAATACAAATATTTTCTAAAGTCACGATTTCTACAAGAGATGTTTAAAGATACATTTAATATAATAACTAATCTAAAACAAAAATGATGAAAGTACCATAGCTGACCATAACATGATACGGCAATATTCATTTCAAATGTAGATCATATGCTGCAACTTTTACCTTCTCACTTTCGTGTTCTTTTATAAGTTGAGTGGTAAATTTATTCCATCTGGCTTCAAATGTGCTACTAAAATCACTAAAGGGTCATTTGCTCCATTTCTTTATACTAAAAACTTACCAAATGAAATAAAAATTATAAAACTGGAAAAAAAGATACCATGCTTCTTATTTTACTCATTATAGCTTTGAAAGTGCCAAGAAAATGAGAATCATTCACTTCAGCCACAGAAAAACTAACTTAAAAAAAGCTATCCCTATATATAAAAAAATCTAAGTTCCAAACACGGTTAAAATATGTTTTCTATTATCATGTATATATAAAATCATTCTTTATTCCAGACAGACATAAGAAGTAGGATTACTTTAAATCAGGTTTTAGAGAGGTGATAATTATTTTATATAATCTAAAACTGGAAAACTTGCTTAAGAATAGTGATGTTTCATACTGTTCATTACAGAAAAAAGATCCCTTTGAAATGGACAGTGATTTCATTATTCAGTAAAAGCACTGACTTGCTGCAGAGAAAACAACAAAAAAATGCAATTACATAGTAGATTTCAGCACATATATTCTGGACACCTATTTCCGTCTCATATCTCACATGGAATTAAAAATGGGTTTCAGACCTTGTCAATTTTAAGACTTATTTTTATAGTCACTCAATCACTTGGCTTTATTATTTTTTACTAACTATTAATCCTAGCAGAGTTCTGGTGTGGTGTTGTGGGTTAATGCACCAGACTGCAAAGCCATTTGAACTGCAAGGTCGGTGGTTCAAGCTCACCAGCCACTTCTTGGAAACCGTATTCAGGGTTGCTATGGGTGGGGATCGACTCGACAGCACTTAAAAACAACAACAATTAATTCTAGCAAGTGTGAGAGCATAATCATGTGTGGAGCCAGCAGACATGGGTTGAAATCTCTTCTATGACATTATTTAGAAGGTAACTTTGGGTATGATAACTATGATTTTGGACCTAAAGTTTTCTTTCCTGCAAAAACCAAGCAAACAAAATCTCCACTGCCATTGAGTCAATTCTGACTTCAGAATTTTGTTCAGTGCCCCTACAGAACAAAGAAGAATTGCCCTTGGGGGTTCTTAAAGCTATAAAGCTATATAGAACAATGTAATAAAATAGACTTATTTCAAAAATTTGGAAACTTTTTGATGGAAAGTTTAACATAAAATATGTAGTAGAAATTGCAATCTCAGTAGTAACAATCTCCCTCCCTCTTCATAATACAATTAATATATAAATTTCATTGGGAAACAGTTATTATTAAGTGCTATTGAGTCGGTTCAGACTCACAGCCACCCTGTATAGGGTTTCCAAGGAGCAGCTGGTGAGCTTGAACTGCCAACTTTGCGGTTCAAAATGACCTTGTAGTCCAGTAGATTAACCCGCAGGGCCAGACCAGAACTCCATTGGGAAACTATGAAATAAAAAATTAAATATGCTATTTTTAAAAAGGATATCTTTTTTTTTTTTTTTTTTTCAGCAGGAATGTTCTTAACGAAGCAATTCTATCACCTAAATGACTGAGAACTCAGATCATTAGCATACTATGTAATAGCATACTATTACAAGCACTGCACTGCGTCCTCAGTTACTCTGAGACTATTTCTCTAGGGCCCTTGCTTCTTTTTCTTTTGCTTTTCCTTTCCTTTCCTCATTTGTCTTCTAGACATTTAAGCTTGGAAATGGAAAAACAAGTAGGGGAACAAAAGAGAGAAATACATGCAAATAAGTCCGAGGTGCTATTTAATAGCTCTATCATGTTTTTATCCAGAAGGAGGCAATATGAGAAATGATAATGTTGACTAACATTGGGTTTCAGATTTTAATGGTTCATGCTATTACTATGAATGGTGTTGCTGTTAAGTGCCATTGTTGTTGCTGTTGTTGGTTAAGCTCTGTGAGTCGGTTCTGACTCACAGTGACCCTGTATAAGGTTTCTGAGATGAAGCTGGTGGGTTTGAACTGCCAACCTTGTGGTTCACAACCCAGTGCTGTTCCTACAGAGTCTCCATTAGTATGAATCGTTTAACGTCGTAATGTTCTGTTTCCCACTGTCATGAATTGGGTATGCTGATTGGTAACCTTAAAAGTTAATACTGATTCCAAAGGTGTCAACTGGGTTGAGATTAACACACTGAAATTAACAGTCGTGTATAGGGGATACAAAGAACGAAATAGCACAGCAGACTTTCTCTTCTGAGATACAGGAAAGTAACAAATTTCACTGTTGTTCTAAATATGTTCCAGTAAATATGCATCATTCATCAGTACAACTTAGCTTGCTGCTTATTTTATAAACACAATTCTTCCCTTTGACTTTACAGTTCTCTTGAGCTAAATTTCCATCTTTCTGTTTTCTTGAGGCTATATGCATATATATAAACCATCAAGGAGTTTTAGGTGTTAAATATAACTATTCTTGTCTTTTTAACTTACCTCTAAGTCATTAAAAAATAAATGTGTATCAGCAAGATTGAAAATCATTTCCTCCATTCTGAGTCCAAGGGTTACAGCCATGGGGGGATCCTGAAAAGAAAATGTAACATATAATGAGGTAAAATTTCAATAGCCAGAGGTATTAACAAGTTTTAAGTGGCACAGTAGGATCAGAACTACAAGCTTGGTGGTTCAAACTCACCTGTCACTCCTTGGAAACCCTATAAGGGGTCGCTATGAGTCGGAACCAACTCAATAGCACTTACCAACAACAACTGCATATTGTTGGTGAAGGGAGGGAAAGACTATTTGAATTTTTAACTAAGAGTCAAAAGACAGTCTAGTTTTCCGAAAAGGGAGATTTAAACATATCAAATGTACAGACACAACTATGAAATTTACAGAAATTTATATACATATAAAGATGACTCAGGAGACATTTTCACATGAAGTTGTATGCTTGTGATAGAAAAGAGAAGAAAGCAAGACTGATCATATGACCTAGTTTACATTGGGGAAAGGTAGTTAAATGAAGTACTGATGAAGGAAGCAAGAAAGAGGAAAGGATGTCCTTTTAAGAATAAGGACAAATAATCAGAGATAAGAGATGGAGAAAAGTAGGTCATTTGAATGTTTGTAGAGAATAGTTTCTTGAGGTGGGATATTAAGAGATGGGAGAGAATGAACTCACCAAATCATTTTAAATTGCATTTTGATCATCAGGGTAATAGGAATCGGTATATACTGCAGCCCTGGTATGGCACTGTAGGATAAGCACTGGATGGCAAGGTTAACTTGAACTGGGAGGTTCAAACTTACCAGTCCCTCCTCAGAAGCTCTTTACAAGGTTGCTATGAGTCAGAATGGACTCGACAGCACTTAGCAACAACATAGCTTGGTCTACCCTGCATCTGATTCAAGTTGAAGAAAGAATGGAGGAAAACCATAAAAATAGTAACTAAAATCCGGGCGTGGTGCTGTACGACAAGCACTAGACCACAAACTCAGTTTGAACTCAGGCCATGGGTTTGAACTCACCAGCTGCTTTTTGGAAATGCTAAACAGAATTGCTATGAGTTGGAATTGACTCACCAGCATTTAAAAATAACAACAACAAATATAATCCAGGAAGAAATGTTGCATTTGAATTATGGTGCTGGTGTGGAATATTGACTAAAACATGGCATACCGTAAGAACAAACAAACATGTCTTGAAAGAAGTAATTTTATATTAATTATTTTATAATTTTACATTGTATTATTATATATTTTTATGTT